GAGGCAAGCTATACCCCAACTGAGAAAGAGATACTGGCAGCCTATGAAGGGGTTCGAGCTGCTTCGGAAGTGATTGGCACCGAAGCACAGCTCCTCCTGGCACCCCGGTTGCCTGTGCTGGGCTGGATGTTCAAAGGCAGGGTCTCCTCTACACATCATGCAACTGATGCTACATGGAGTAAATGGGCTGCACTAATTACACAACGAGCTCGAATAGGAAATCCCAGTCGTCCAGGCATTCTAGAAGTCATCATGGACTGGCCAGAGGGCAAAGATTTTGGAATGTCACCAGAGGAGGAGGTGATGCGTGCTGAAGAGGCCCCACCATATAATCAGCTGTCAGAAAGTGAAAAGCAGTATGCCTTGTTTACTGATGGGTCCTGCCGTATTGTGGGAAAACATCGGAGATGGAAGGCAGCTGTATGGAATCCTCGACGACAAGTTGCAGAAACTGCTGAAGGAGAGGGTGAATCGAGTCAGTTTGCTGAGGTGAAAGCCATCCAGCTGGCCCTGGACATTGCTGAACGGGAAAAGTGGCCAGTACGTTATCTCTATACTGACTCATGGATGGTGGCAAATGCCCTGTGGGGGTGGTTGCAGCAATGGAAGCAGAGCAACTGGCAACGTAGAGGTAAACCTATCTGGGCTGCTGCACTGTGGAAAGATATTGCGGCCCGGGTGCAGAACCTGGTGGTGAAGGTACGCCATGTAGACGCCCATGTACCCAAGAGTCGGGCCACTGAGGAACACCAGAACAACCAACAAGTGGATAAAGCTGCTAAGATTGAAGTGGCTCAGATGGACTTAGATTGGCAACATAAAAGTGAATTATTTTTGGCCTGGTGGGCCCATGACACTTCAGGCCATCAGGGTAGAGATGCAACATATAAATGGGCCCGTGACTGAGGGGTGGACTTAACAATGGACACTATTGCCCAGGTTATTCATGAGTGTGAAACATGTGCTGCCATTAAACAAGCCAAACGGTTAAAACCTCCTTGGTATGGAGGACGATGGCTGAAGTATAAATATGGGAGGCCTGGCAGATTGACTATATCACACTGCCACCAACCCGCCAAGGTAAGCGCCATGTGCTTACCATGGTGGAAGCAACCACCGGATGGCTGGAAACATACGCTGTGCCCCACGCCACTGCCCGGAACACTGTCCTGGGCCTTGAGAAACACATTTTGTGGTGACACGGCACCCCAGAGAGAATTGAGTCAGACAATGGGACTCATTTCCGAAATAACCTTATAGACACTTGGGCCAAAGAGCATGGCATTGAGTGGGTATATCACATCCCCTACCATGCACCAGCCTCTGGGAAAATCGAAAGGTACAATGGGCTGTTAAAAACTACACTGAGAGCAGTGGGTGGGGGAACTTTCAAGCATTGGGATACACACTTACCAAAGGCCACCTGGTTGATCAACATGAGGGGATCTGCCAACAGGGCTGGCCCAGCCCAATCGGAACTTTTACATATTTTAGAGGGGGACAAAGTTCCTGTGGTGCATATGAAGAATTTGCTGGGGAAGACAGTCTGGGTTATTCCTGCTTCAAGTAAAGGCAAACCCACTCGTGGGATTGCTTTTGCTCAGGGACCTGGATACACTTGATGGGTAATGCGGGATGATGGGGAAGTCCAATGTGTACCTCAAGGGGATTTAATTTTAGGGGAAAACAGCCGATGAACTTAATTGTATGTTGTTGCCTGCTGTGTAATACTTTAATAGCCCGTCAACCAGATGTCTTCAGGCCACCAGTGACTAGCCCTGACTTCCCTTCAACCATCATCCCAGCAGAGAATGAACTTTGACAGAACCAGACAAGTTCTACAGTAAGGGAATGATCAGCATCAGCAGGCAACGACCCAGTACTGCACACAGCCTCTCCTGTTCTGAAAGACTGTTACAAGAGATGGAGCCTGACATCATGGGCCAGATGGACTCAGCAGCTTTATAGGGATTGGTCCATGCACTAAGATAGAAGTGCACTGAGATCAGAGTGATGGTATATTGAAAATGTGGGATCTGAGCATGATGTGAATGGTATGGAATAAGGGGTGGATAATGTCCTGGATTTAGCAGTAGCAGTCATTTTTTCTCCCTCTTGGTAGCTGGTGCAGTGCTGTGTTTTGACTTTCGGGCTGGGAACAAAGTTGATAAAAATGATGTTTCGATTTGGCCAAGGACTTTGTGAGCCTCATGCTCTGCCAGGGAGGAGGGGAAGCCGGGAGGCAGCAGAGACAGGACACCTGACCCAAACTGACCAAAGAGGTATTCCATACCACAGCACGTCGTGCCCAGGGGGGAACTGGGAGTTACCTGGAAGGAGATGGGGGCTGCCGGGTCAGACTTGTTGTTCGGCGCATGGTATTGTACTCCTTTCCCTTGCTATTTTCTCTTATTGTTGTCGTTGGTGGTAGCGGTGGTGATTTGTATTGTACATTAGTTGCTAGACGGTTCTTATCTCAGCCCGTGGGAGTTGCATTCTTTCGATTCTCCTCCCCATCCCCCTGGGAGCGGGGAACGGGGGGGGGCAGCCCCTGGGGAAGGGGGGGACTAACGTGGGCCTCGATTGCTTCCAGCCTGGCACTACTCACTGAGAGTGAGTGCACAAGTTGTCTGGCTTGGTTTAAACCACGACAGTACTCCTTTCTGCGAAACACACCGTACCTCAAATGACACTGAAGGTTCAAGATAATGCTATTACATATCACAGTTAATGTCAGAAGACTTTGCAATTAAAGGTTTCAAAATTCTCATCTCCTCCAAGCTACACACATAGCTGTTTCTATCTGTCTGCGGGTACGTAATCTGATTTTAGTTTTGTCTTGCTTGGTTATAAAAAGATGTGCCTAACCTCCAATAATATATGGTTCGTGTCCTCCATTCCCTCTTGTACCCCCTAATGTTTTCAAGATTGTGTTACATGGGAAACTATTAATATCTATGGAGAAGAACTGGAATTACAATAAAATTATACCTTGTTTTTAGGGAATAGTAGCACTGAATAGTAGCACTGCTGGCTTACAATAGGTGAAATAAATTCATAATGCCTATGAGGTCTCCAAATATGTGGAGCTAGTAAATTTTTAAAATTGAAGACAGATGGACTTGTCATATTTTGAATATTTTGCAAAAGCTGTGGTTACATCCAAAATGCACAGACTGTTTTCCAGCAAAGATGATGGAAGAACCTAAAAAGATTTTTGGTTACTTTTGGTTGGCATCTGAAGTGTCAGCTCTCTGAACAAGCCTTTGCTTAGGGATGGGCTGAATCTTACTAACTTCTCTGTTTTAATGCTTTATTAATACATCCTCTGTAATGACACATCTGTTTATGCTTGTGGCTCACCCTGCTGGGCCACAGGAGAAAGATGTATCCTAGGCATGGGCACAAGGTCAGTGTCCCACCAGTGTGGTGGTGCCTGGGGCATTTACACACCTCTGCACTAGGAGAGCATGCAGCCTGGTCTTCAGTGGGACCAACAGTGGCAGATGAATGTCTATGCCAGTGCACACAGGCAGACCCATTTTCTCAGTTGACAATGCTAATTAGCAGCATGAGGGCACCTCTGTACCCAAGGGCCAGGGCACTCTCTGGGAGCAACATGGCATCAGTGGCTGCTGCTTCCTATCTTGTGCCAGCGCAGGCAACTTGATTTGAACCAGAAGGACCTTAAATGGACACCTAATTGATGCAAAGTTACAGTTTTTTAGTCACCTTCACAATGTAATGAGCGCATCCTTTGTGCCATTCTAAAGGAATAACTCTGTTTAGATTGGGGAGTTCAAACATCCTGATACCTAACTGCATCATTTACTTTCTAGTACTTTGAAATCTAGACTTCCTTCCTGTGCAGAGTCGGCTGGAAGCTGATTTGTCTCATGACTCTCAATGTGGTTTGAAAGAAGGGAAAATTAAAAAAAAGTAAATACTTGGGTTAGCTCCAAAACTATCTAATTTCAACTTCCTACTAGTAACCATAATGCTCTCTAGGGAAGCTGCACAAGGTTACTACGAAGGGAAAAATCAATGGTCATGTGGCTCCAGCACTGGTCAGTGTTAGGCAGCTTTGCAATGAATTTTTAGTGTGACTCAGTGCAAATCTTTTAAAGTCTCAGTGCCTTATTTTTTCCCTGTGTCCTGCCAAGGAACGAAGACATGAATATTTCTAAAATGCTGCCTAAGGGTTTTTCTTAGTCATGAATTTGGATAGCAAGTATGGACCATCTCTGCAGTATGATTCACAGCTTTAGATCAGCATAGGCTTGGTCTGCAAATTCCAGCACACTTTTTCAAATAAGGAAGAATTGGAGGTAAAGTTGCAAGCTCCTTCTTGGTTCTTGCTTGTATTGGCAGCAGGAGTACCACAGAGGGAAAAGCCAAGAGCTGAGGAGATGTCGCACAGCACAGCTTGCTGACACTAGCATGAGCTGCACAAACCTGAATTCAGCAAACAGTAGGCAGCATCACATCTATGTAGCTGAGGAATAGGTCATCTCAAATGAGAAGGTACAAAGAGGAAGGGTAGCTCTGCAACTTGGCCTTTAAAGTGGAATGGTGGACATCTCCTTGCCCTAGACATACTGTGGATGACACCTGAACAACCTTCTGCAGACATAGGCATACTTTGTCTGTGCTCTGAGCTAGCCACAATATAACTACATGATACTCCACTTTCATGATTTCTGGTTAACTGGTCATGAGGACAGTGCCCACTCTGTCACCTGCACAGCCTTTGTAAGACAGAGAATGTAATTTAATCTTCCCACACTGTATTTCACCATCTGTATAGGTATAGGTGGTACATGACTACTTTAATTCAATTTTCTGTATAGATGCTAAGCACTTCCAGGGGTTAGCACAGTAGTCTGTAAGGTGTTCTGTAGCAGCTCTTTTAATAGAATTTTTCATTACAACAAGTATTTATTACAGTAGAAAATGTAATAATCAAAACATAATATGGTATAAGCCTAAACTCACCAAAGAACTTCAGTTGAGCATTTAGATGATTCCTCTTACAATTCCTGTATTTCAGATGACTATGTGCTATGGAATGAACAAAAGACAGACTTGATCAGACCAGATGACAGATTTCTCCCATCAGAATTAAAATTTGACCACAGAACCATTTTCCAGGACGACTATCTGTACAGGGGGCTGGTTGCCACTCAGAACTTCAAACCTCCAAATCAAGTTCAGAAAACCAAGGCTCCTGAGTATATAACTAATTATAGAGTGAAATATGTGCCGCATCCTCCTGAAAAGCATTACATCCATAAAAAAGAGAAATAGAAGGCCAATGAGGTCCCATTTGATGGCCTCACTACCCACAGAGTTTCTTACAAGGGAATGGCTGGTCAGCCAGCCAAACTTGCAAAACCATGCCAGTCAAAGTATCTCAATGATACTCCATTTTCCTCTACAACTGAGTATCAGGACAAATACCAAACTTGGCCACGGGCTTCCATAATCACCAAAAAACCTGTTGTATATCTTCCTCCTCTTGAGAAAATGGACCTTCAGACCACTATTAAGATACATTACAAGCACCCAAATGGCAAGCCAACCAAGACGTGTCAATCTGTGGCCCAAATACCTAAAAGTACTGGGCCATTCAATAGCTCTTCTACAATGAAAGAAGACTATAAGCCTTGGCTGTGCAAGAGGCTAAAACGTATCATTCATGCTCCAGATCTGACTTTCTCAGCAAAGCCAATGGATTGCTTGACTACTTTTCAGACCCATTATGTGCCTCATTGGCCCACAGTTACGAAGAGCTATAAATCTGCCTGGTCAGGCCCAAAGGATCAAACTCCACTACAAGCTAAAACGATCTACACTGCCAGCTACACACCCAAAGCTTTTGTTAGATGCTTGGCCTCTTACAGACACCCACCTGGTTAGGTCTTTGAGGGAACTAATGCTGATGGTCACAGTCTCTATCTACCTGCTTCCAAGAGTCGAGTGCCTGCAGGGTTGACACGGAAGGAAGAAGAGAGTGGACATCATCTTGGAAATGGATTCAAAGAGCAAGGCCCCAGTGAGCTACAAATGAAAGCTTGATTTTCTTTGTAACCTTCTTTCAAACCAATCTCTGATTTTATATTTGGAGAGCTCTTAAAATACACTTTATTTCCAGACATTGACTTTTTCTGGATCATTTGTACAAATGGAAAAGAAAGAGATGTCAATCCTTGTTTCTCTAGATTTTATCTTTTTTTGTTTTCCGCAGATAACTCTTGCTCTTTATTTGAGACAGATACCCTCCTCCTAAGACACAAAAAGAGAGATCTTTCAGGTTTCTTTTTCTTTTCCCTTTAAGTTCTACCTAGATGTATAAAAGTCTCATTAAAAACAATATATGATAACACTAAGGAACAGAAGGGGTTCACCTGAATGACTAAAGGTGTGGTTCCACAAAAATTAAATCTGACTAAAGCTTGGGCTGCTGCTGTCTTACCTTTATCTCCACCTGCAGCTGCATGTTTCCCCAGTTGTCTCTCTTTCTGGTAAAAACATTAGCATTGTTAGACTGCATGATGGAGTGGATCAGGAGACTGACTTGGCCAAAGGCAAATAAGTGTTTTAGTAAGGTTAAGACTTCATTTCCCGGAACCAGTGCATCACAGAGTTGCACAGTTACCAAATCAGGTGCAGGAGGTAAGTGCAGAAAGGAACAGGAGACTCAGGTAGCTCAGACATAGCTTGGCTGGAGCTGCTGTTGAAGTGCATCCCCCCTTCCCAAGTAAGTTGTTCAGTGCTTGCCCTGAAGCACAGCCTTCATGTGCTGCCTGACCTCCCTTGGAGGAAGGGCTTGTTTAACCCTGTCTCTGCCAGACTCCTCTTCTCCTTGAGTGGACTGATGATCACAAAGTGATCTACTGCATGGAAAGGCTGCTGTTCTCCTCCTGGCCTTCTGTGCAGGCAGCAAACCTCTCTTTTCTCTACAACACAGCACTGTCTTCACAGCCTGCAGTTCAATTTTGATTAAAATGGTTAGTGTCATTAAAAAATTAGCAGAATAGAAAATTATAATTTAGGAATAATTGAGAATTGAGGTGTTTAACACAGAAAATAAAGATGGGCTGCACTGAAGTACACAGGATTCAGTAACTGTTTTCATGCAGAATGAATTTGTGGAGAAAGATGAATAGAAGTTGTATTTACCTTATGTTTGTGCCAATGAAATTTAATTTTTTCTTAGAGTGGTCACAGTGTCAGAAAGAAGAGTACATATACAAGTTAGAAGCCCTGTAAAAGAGCTTAAAAGGTCACTATTTGTGTATAAAGAAGAAAAAAACCGAATCACACCTTTAGTTTTTGAAGTTACATATAGGAGGAGGAAACCTAAACTACACCTGTGTGTGAGTCAAAACCAGATGCTAGTGCTAGATGATACGCTGGAGGGAAGGAATGCCATCCAGAGGGACCTCGACACACTTGTGAGGTGGGCTGATGCCAACCTCATGAAGTTTAACCATGCCAAGTGCAAGGTTCTACAGCTGGGTGGGAGCAATGCCAGGCACAGCTACAGGCTGGGCAGAGAAGAGATTCAGAGCAGCCCTGAGGAGAAGGACTTGGGGGTGCTAGTCAAAGAGAAAATGAACATGAGCCAGCTTCAATGTGCGCTTGCAGCCAGAAAGCCAACCGTATCCTGGGCTGCATCAAAAGGAGTGTGACCAGCAGGTTGAAGGAGGTGATCCTGCCCCTCTGCTCTCATGAGACCTCACTTGGAGTATTGTGTGCAGATCTGGTGTCCTCAACATAAAAAGGACATGGAACTGTTGGAACAAGTCCAGAGGAGGGCCACGAGGATGATCAGGGGACTGGAGCACCTCCCATATGAAGATAGGCTGAGAAAGTTGGGGCTGTTCAACCTGGAGAAGAGAAGGCTGCATGGAGACCTCATAGCAGCCTTCCAGTATCTGAAGGGGGGCTATACGGATGCTGGGGATGGACTCTTCATTAGGGACTGTAGTGATAGGACAAGGGGTAACGGGTTAAAACTTAAACAGGGGAAGTTCAGGTTGGATATAAGGAGGAAATTCTTTCCTGTTAAGGTGGTGAGGCACTGGAATGGGTTGCCCAGAGAGGTTGTGAATGCTCCATCCCTGGCAGTGTTCAAGGCCAGGTTGGACAGAGAGTTGGGTGAGATGGTTTAGTGTGAGGTGTCCCTGTCCATGCCAGGGGGATTGGAACTAAATGATCTTAAGGTCCTTTCCAACCCTAACTCTTCTACGATAATTAGCAGTTGTTCAGAAACCTGTCAGCTGCTCTGCAGTGGTCTTTCCTGTTTTGTGGGGCAATTATGAGTGAATAAAAAGACTACGTGCCTTTAGGCAAACTTCCAGTGTTTGGAGCAACCCAGAGGAGCAGATGAACCTTGCACTTATGATGAAGCACAAGACAACATTTCTCATCCTATGAACAAATGAGTGGAATGATGGGAGTCAGCTGTAATCAACCTCTTATTTCATTCATTGGTACTTTCTGAGACTGGATAATGGCATGAATACCTAAACATTGGCATAAGTACAAAGAATATTACTGAAAAATATTTAAAAAGCCAAAACGCAAGGATGAAAGCCAAGGGCTTTGTCGTTGGCAGGGTTGAAAAAGGCTTCCAGGGGATGCTAAAAAGAGGAAGGAGGATTGTGCTAAGCAATAATAGGTGAAAACTGTCATTGTCAGAGCAGGTTACTACACTAGTATCAATTACTGTAATCACTGCCAATACATGTCAGGGATAGTTCCCTTTATGTACACTGCAGAGCCTGTTTAGAGGGATAGCTTTATCATGAGTCCCTGAAAACACCAAGCTCACCAGGGCTACTGATCTCCAGGCAAAGCACAATCTATTAGGCAAGTCTTAAGCACAAAAGCTGAGTTAAGGAAACACATCAAACTAAATTTTAGAAGGGTAGCAGCTTCCTGGGAGGTCCTGAATGTTTGCTCAGCCATCGAGGACTGTGGGTCCCATCTGGGAAAAATCTAAGCAAAAAATACTTTATTCTCCAGTCCTTAGCAGGAAACAAAGTAAACCAACTCTCAAATAAATTAAGTTATCCGGAATAATGGGGAGATAACTCTTCAGGTCAGTTTTGACTCATGTGACACCAGCCTTTCAACCACCTGTGCCTGCAAAGACAGCAAACCCCATTGCCTCACATCTGCAGGAGACAGTTCCTCCATCTGGACAAGGTTTGCAGTTAGCAATATATGAGAGGTCAAAGCAATCGGTAAGTCATGCACTTATGGTCTAGCAATTTGAACAGGCAGCAAATTTGTGAAAAGTTTAGAAACTTTTCTACCACAAACTCTAAAAAGGGCTTCACCCAGTGCTATAGATTGCTAGAAAGAGCAAATTGTCAGCACCTCATGTGTTTCAGGGCTATGAAGAAAGTGTTGAAAGATAAGTGGGATGCCCCAGCAAGGACTGAGGATGTTCATATCACAGAAGGAAGGAATATTGATCCTGGGCATAGTACTCCAGAGACAGGAGGCAGCTGAACTTTACATATGAAAGAACAATTCCTTTCTTTGCAAGGCATAAAAAAAAAAAAAAAGACTTTCCTGGGGCATGGCTGAGACTTCCCTAAGAAAGCCGTGTCTTCTCAGTTGGAAAAAGGCATCTGGGCAGAGAACTGTGGTCTGAGTCCACTGGGACTGGAAAATTCCCGAACAAATTTTCTGAGCAGTGTTTGCTTTTGGCTGATCACATTACAAATCCCTCTTCCCTATTGTACTAATGTCTTCTTCTGCCTCTTTCCCACACTGGAAGCAGTAGTCCTAGTGATTTGTGCCTCTCTTCTTGATTTTGTGGGGAAATACTCTGGGGCAACCTGATTTGACTTCTCCATCTGGCTGCATGTCTGTCCTTCATGTTTTAGGCTGTATTCAGCAGCTAGGAACAGGGTAACTCTTACGGAGGCAGTAGAGTGTTTGGCTCTATATTCCCTGTTTCCACTAGCTCACTAGCGCTGTGCTTGTTGGTCTGAACTATCCCCAGGGCTCACATGGCACTACCATGTGCCATCACATGTGTTTCAGCATGTTGCCTTGCTGGGAGAGCAGGCCCCTGCTCTGTTTGCCCTCTGCTAAAGAAGAAAAGTGCCTGTGGGATCCTCCCTGCACAGCTGTATTCAATTTGCTGTGATTTGTATGTAGGGGGTTAACAAGCAGGTTTTCCTTTCTTGGTAATACAATCACTAGGTTATATGTTATTAGTTGAAAACTGACTCCATCAGTGTTTCAGTAGGTGAAGTGTATTAATAAGCATCCAACAACCTCATGGGCTATTTATTTAAACTAGTAATTTATGCTTTTGTAAAAAATGCAGCATGTTGAAAAGGGTGGAGGTAAGTCTCCCTATAGCCCAGACCAAATTACTCCTCAGCCGAACCATTAAGCACTTCTTTAAGAGAAAAGAAACCTGTCCTAGCTCCTCACTTGGAGACCAAGCTGTTCAGAGCCTGTCTGGTGTGATCTTTCTGGTTTGGGTTTTATTATTGTGCTCTGCCACTAGCCCTGGGGAGTTTGTAAATGAAGTAGGCTCAGACCTCTTCCAAGACCTAGAATGAACAGGCTACTTTATAGTATTGAAGATGGTAGTAGGGAGTGGTTTTCCATGCCCATGTCATCCTAAGCATATGTGGATAACTATATGCTTACTGTGAAATTGTTCACATCCTGCCACTACTTAAACAGTGTTTATATGTAGCCAGACTACAACCCACCAGTGTCCCCTTCACTTTTAGCCACATAAACCTGCATACTTTTATTTATAACTGCACAAATATAAACCTTTTCTTTGCAGAGGGCTTAAAAGCCTAAACAACACTCTCACTTTTCCCTTTTTTTCCACTTTCTAAGAGGTAAGCAATGCGTTATCAGGAAGGATAGAGAACTGCAGCCTGGACAAGCAGCACACAATTTGTTCATTGTTTTGGCTTAAAAGCCCTTGTTATCAGAGTTTTATAAACCCTGTCCCTGGGTCAAGGCAGCTAAGTGTCTCCCTGCTCTTCCCAGACCACTTGCTCTGCCAGCAGAGGGGAGTCTCCTGCCTGGTCCCTATTCAGCTTCCAGTACCTAAAGGGGGACTACAGGAAATCTGGAGAAGGACTTTTTATGAGAACATGTAGTGGCA